CCCCGATTTTGGGCGCTTAAAATGGGGAAAAAAGTGCGTCTTATCTGCGGAGCTATACATTAGCTTTCAAAATATTGATGCTTTTAGCTGGGCAACCAAAAGCTCTTCAAAAGCTAAGTAAACGAGACATTACTGAACAAAATTTTCACAAATTCAGGGACTTAAGTTTCTAGCACAAAAGGCACTTACTGAAGCTCTCATTATACACTAACACCGCTGATGCGAAGTTGACGCGAAGTTGACGCCAAGTTACAGAATAGTAAAAAGGACGTTCTTTCTCCCAAGTATTTTTCTTTTTATTGCAAAAGGAATTGGTCTGGGACCAAATGGAGCCTTTTTAGGTACCTATATATGTGGGCCAAAATTAATCAATGATGGTTACTTGGAAAAAGATGACTGTCTCCTTACCTGTATATTGACTATAAATTGTTGTGTAAGCAAGATTCAATTGTTTGCTGCCCCAGAGATAAGCGTGGCCCATTTGTGGAGGCTTGTCTCTATGCACAGGGTTGGTAAACATGATTCCACGGCATTTCACAAACCTGTAGACATTTAAATTAAGTAAATGAAACCGGAAAAAGAACAAGACGAGACATTTTTCGAAACTAGAACAAGAAGGCTACAGAGGATAAGTTTCTAATTTTTAACAATAGCTGGAGCTATTGAATATGATTTGAAATCAAAAAGTGTTTCTCTTTGTTTTTCAAGAAGGGGGCATGGGCATCCCTGTTTTATGTACTATTTGCACATTTTTGGCACCCTTGCCCTTATTTGACACCTAAAATCTCTTTGACAGGCCCTCCTAACACACTGTGAATATGAAATTATTCAGTGCTGACCTAACGCATACATTTTAAAATGTTGTGAAAATATAACACAGAAGATGGCTGGGTTGCTAGAAAAAACAAAAAATTAGGCATTCTGCCGCAAGATTACTTAAGAGTTGCAAAATTTCCCTAGCTAAAACATAAATTTTGGAGGAAAGTAATGCATTTTTTTCCTAGAAATTTTCAGGTATTTTTATTAAATTGCAAACAAAATTGTCTGAGAATATTCTCAATTATTCCAGTAAAGTCGTTTTTTAATGAAGGAAATAAGGCAACAACAATTTTTTTATCACACTCCCTAAAATCTAAAATTTCAGAACTAAAAGGCAAACTTTCTGACTTTGGTCAAAGGAACATGTGAAAGCAGAAGAAACCAATGACATGTTTCAGTTAAAGGAAAAATAATCAATATTCTGTGGCAAGACTCCTCGACTTTTCCAGGTTTTCAGTGACTTTACATCCTTACTTGTCATCCTGTAGATCCAAGGCTTCGTCATGACAGAGAGAGCACATACCTGTTAGTTGCCGCATTGTAGCAATAATTTGGTAAGAAGTCATAATTAAGCTCCCAAAAAACGTGTAAGGTGATCCTGCCATAGGGAGCTAAAACGTTGTGATTAGCCTCTCGGAACATGGCATCGTATTCGTCCAGCGCCAAATGCTTGCTCAAAAGTTTATGACACAGCCTGTTCACTTGTAGTAAACCATCCAATTCCTGCAATTAAAAAGGGCGTAAATTAAACAATGTGGTAAATATTTTTTTTTTTTTTTTTTTAAAAAAAAACAGAAAAAGATAATTTCACAAGATTAGAAGTTTCACACCTTAAGACATTGTTCCCTCATCAAAAATGTCATGTGTAACAAAATGAACACACACTTTTTTAAACTCAGCTCGGATATGAAAAATTAGAGTACATTTCAATTTTTAAATACATTTTCAATCATGCTTAACTAAAAATCACAATCAGATAAGGTTAATTCAAAATTACGGCTGATTTTTTGAACTGGCGAATGATTATAATCGGCCAGTGCTCACTTTCCCTTTAACCAGATAGCAAGTAGACTCAAACAATTACTGTCTAATTTTTATGCAGATTGTGAGGGCATCCACAATATTCCACAGCCAAGACTTGATTTTTGAGATTTAATATTCTATTAATCTTCAAAAACCAAAATATTACTTGATTATATGCAGCTGATTCTAAAATCATCTTGGTTTGAGGAGGAAGAAACCAGATCAAAACTCAGGAATTAATTGTTTCTCAAGGCTCGCAATATCTCAAAGAATTGCTTTCAATTAACAGGCTGCTATAAACAAGAATGGATTCATGCCAATTCAAGATTGGAAAACTGCATTCTCGCTTGCTGTCCAGGACACATTTCTCAGTTCTTTGATTGAAAAAGCTGAGTTTTTGTCGGGAAGGACAGATAATACATCATGCAAATAATTACACATCGGCTGCTGTTAATTAAGGTTTGCTTTTCCCCCTCATTATACGGAGTATAAACATTTTGAACACTTACAACAACGCCTGTTATGTCTCCCCCTTCAAATTTACAAATGGCAAGCTCAAGAGATTTCTGCATGTCAGCGTTGATGCGTTGCGTAATTAGTTTGTTGAGATCGATCGATCTACCCAACAATTGCACGTGGCGCTGCTTCAACAGTGTTTCATATCGGTTTGCACGCGGATATGCCAGCAGGTAGGTTCCCATGGCCACACACTCAACACGAAAACGTTTATCTAACAGAATACTGAAAGAGAGATGCACACATTCAACATTAGAAGAAAGTTCCAAGAATTAAATCCATACAATTTTCATATTTCACAAAAAAATACACCTACAATTTTAGATTCTTTTTATTTGAGATGAGAATTGGTCGGGCACTCACATTAAAAATAAATATATAAGTTGTAACCTGGCGCTTACAACTGTCAGAATTATTTTTCAAAAATACTTTTGATGTAATGACACATGATGATAAAAATGATAAAGTAGCCAATCAGTTTTTTTCAAAAATTTATGAATAAATAGAATAAAAAATCATTGAAAGGAAGGAAACAATTAATTATATCCTGTGATTAAAAATTCGCTAGTTTAAGCTCGTCCAAATCTAACAGGTGGAAGAATATTGGACTTCAAAATAGTTTCGTGACAAGACGTCAACTGTGCGAAGTCAAAACAGAGTAAATTAATCACAGTACGTCACCAAGGGTTAGATTTTCAGGAATTTTCATCCAAAAAAATCGGTAAAACGAAAAAGAAGAATGAAAAAAAAGAAAAAAATACAAAAAACTGGCTAATAAACAAATAATACCTTGCTGCAAGTTGCTTATAATGAGCAAATATTTGCTCACTAAGTTTATACACAAACTGATCGAAGCACAGATTGACTTCTGCCTCAACTTCATCGTATAAAAATTGTTTGCGAAAGACAGTCAGGGCATAATGAGCACTGTCATTGTAGAGATCTAATGGGTATAAGACATACCTGAAAAGAAGAGATACAAAATTAATTCACAAAGCACCTACCAAGTTCTTACAAACATAAAGAATAGGGTTCTTTGACTGCTACCCTTGCAGATTTAACTTCAAATTTAAGCCATTACAAGTATTATGTTGGCAAACCAAAAAGTTGTCTTTAGATCAATCGGTGATCTACCACCCAAGAGAACGCATGTTTTACGAACATTTTAGTTACTCATGAACTAAAAACTTTCGCACTAATGTGTCTGAAAATTGGAGTCTCTCCTCCCTCAGGTGTAAAAAAAGGTCACTGGAAATTTCAGACAAATTCATGCAATGGTGTTCCTGTGAAAAAAATAAGATGTCAATAAGAGATACTGAAAAAACGCAATCAGGGTACATTCCTGTCCATGTTGTGCTGAAGGCAACTAATCTTCGACGAATGTTCATGAAAAAAATCTACAAATCTAGCCTCAAAGTAAGCTCAGAATTGCTGTTGTTAATTGTCAAACAATTTTGAAGAATATATCTTGTCACTAATTAGAAACAGTACTATGGACTTCATTTAAAGATAGATTTTGAAAGATACTTCCAAGTTCAAATATTCCTTAAATGATAAATGCAAAGCATGCAGCATGAAATAATGTTTAAGTCCTTGATAAATCCTTTCTCCTTGCCTTCCTTCAGAAAAAAAGTGTCACTGGCGACACCAATTGGGGTAGGAATTTAAGTTGACAACTTACAACTTTCCTCCAACTCTAAAAATCAAAGTACTTGTGCGGAATAAATTTTGACTGCAAATATTATGAAACTCGTTTGTTACAATTTCGAAAAAAGTAAAACAACAGAGAGGTGAAAACACTTTCATTAAACTTTGAAAAGTATTTCGTTACAAATTTTGTTGATAGCAATCATGTCGGCGATTTCAGAAAAATGGATGAATATGAAAAGAAATTAAATGTGGAAGGGAGCATTTTCTACTTACTCCATCATTGAAGGCTCTTTGGTACGTAGAATGTGATCAGTCAAAATCCATGGCATTGACATTTCAATAGGAAACTGAGAACAAAAAAAAAGAAATAAAAAATAATTTTTCAGATATGGAGGAAAACAACTCAAACAGGGTGTCTACAAGATTTTCAAAATGAAATTCCTTGACAATTCCAGGTTTTCCATGACAAAAAATGACAAAATTCCCTGACTTTTTGGGTTTAGCCATACGATGAACTAGTTAGAAAATATTAAAAAAAACTATCCTTAGGAATGACCGCGTTAAGTCATATTCTGAATTACCATGGCGTTGGAAGGAGTTGAGTAATACTTTTGAAAGGAACGAGATCCTAAATACTCAAAATAAAGCTAATTCCAAAATGGTATACTCAGACTAATATTCACCTTCAAAATTTAATTTTTAAGCTCTACTACGCTCTCTTTGTGACATATTGCCCCATGTACTTTTGAAAATTCAAACGATAGTTCACCCTGGTGGTTTCATAAATATTGGCATATTACTTAGTGCCCTGAAAATACAAGTCTCTTTTTCTTAAAATATAAAACAAGAGTTGTAAATGTGCCTAACTCAGGTAGATTTTGCTATAATCAAGAGGAAATAAGAGTCTCTTCTCGATTGTAGATAAATTTCCTTGATTCGGGATTTTTTTTTTTTTTTTTTTTTTTCCCCTTAAAAAGATCAATTAAGTCAATGGATTCCAGAACCTATTGTTGGTACTGAATTTGTCTTATACTCAACAAGCGTTGGCTTGTTAGAATATAATCCACCGATAATATTTCTACAAGGTGAATGCACCAGTTGTGAACATGTTGATTTAAGAACCAGAAAAATTTCATGCAAAATGCAGTTGACATTAAATATTTCTTTACTCAGTTAAAGAAAAACTAAAATTCTAGCACTTTCATTAAATTTCCTAACTTATGGAAAAAATTGATTAACCATCTGCTCAAAACTGGGGCACTTAGTTTCCTATCATTTTTTACTGTAATTTTCTGCTGTTAGCAAGTTAACTTCATTCAAGTCTATTTAGTCTATCTTGCCATTTGGCATAAATTAAGTAGATAAATAAAATAGGGCAGATCGATTCGATCTTTAAAGTTAGCGAACACACATTAGTGAACCATTAGCGGCCGTGTTGCAAACTGGTTGAACAGAGCAGTTTACATTACGTGGATCAGCCACGCGAGCGCGCTACTCGGCCAATTCGGCAGTGACGAGCAAAAATAGCCGCGAAATGTTCGAATTGCGAAAATTCCCTGACTTTCACCGGTTTTCGATCGAATACCCTGACTTTTCCCGGTTTTCCAGACAGTGATCAAATTCCCCGATTTTTCCCGGTTTTCCAGACCTGCAGACACCCTGTCAAATGATGCATGGATAGAAATGTGTTGCGCTTTATAGAAACCCAGTATTGGATCACGTTCCAGATAAAAATGTCCTTCTTTCATTCTGAGTAGAATTCGATTTCCAGACTTGAGCCCAGTTTTACTACCCACGTGAAAACATTGATCATACACCCAAAATTTAAACAATAACGAAATTAAAATTCTCCACAATTTGAACGACAAATTCAGCACTGATGTTTTCAAGATAGATAGAACACTTGCTGGCGCTTAAAAACAGCATTTTTATCTGAGACAGGCTTTAACTTCCTTTAAACCGATTTCAGCTGTTGCTTTAACTGCATTAAGTAACGATAGAACCCAAAGAAAGAAAAAATTGACAACAGTGGTGCATTTCAAGTTGATCAAAATGAAAAAAAAAGTTAGGTACAATGTGAAAAACTTCAGAGTTCTTGAACGAAAACCTATTATCATTACCACTTTTACAGAAAGCTTTTTCACCTTTCAGCGATCAAACTATCACAAGAAACTAGTCAAAAATTTAGGATTTTGTCCAGAAAATTTCAATTCATTTCATGTTTTAGCGTGTTATTCCGAGGATTTAACAGACAAATGAAGACTCCTGGTTTTCACAAAAATCTTTCAAAATTTTCTGGGATAAAATGTAAGTCCAGCACTAATTCCTGTTTCCAGGAATAATAGACGACTAAGAGAGAAAAAATAGAAATGCCCGAGAGCAATATTCACCTGTATGCGTTTTTCCATTGTGATGAGATCGCTGCACTCTTCATTGTGTTGATGTCGCACTGTGCATTTCTGAAATCCAAAGACAGAATGTAAATACACAAAAAAGAGGTTGACATTAAAATTGGTCAAAGGCATGCAAAAGCTAAGTTTCTAATCTGGACTTTTCTGAACATAATTTTGATGTTACTTACAAGATGCTCTTTTGGTTTAAATAGAAAAAAATGTATAACGATAGGTATTTGAGAGCAGATGACCAAAAGATAAATATGAAGTTATTTAGATTAATTTTATGGCTCACTTAAAATGGTGATGTATGTTTCCTATATTTACCTGAATACGTCGCCCCATGGTCATTTCAAGGTAAAATTCACGATACCAAAGTTGAGATAAATCACAGCATTGTTGTAAAGACTCTGAAATAAAGCAAAGGGTAGTTCTGTAGAGGAATTGCATTTATGCTGGTATTGTAGGGGATCCACTCACTTTGTAGGATCTGTTGTGCGCTAAAAAAGGATAGGATTAAAATGAAAAAGACTGTAAGTGGGTCACTTGGCTACAATCACTCAGTGTCTTGTTTTGAAAACTGCTCAACTCAGAAGAAATTGAAGTTTCCATTTTGAAGTGAATGCAGAAAAGTGATTTTGAAGGTCATGCACAACTTTTTTTCGCTACATAATTTTATTCTGAAACGATAAGACACAAATTTCGAATATTTGGAAAATGACCAACTCCATTGTTTACAAACATTCATTTTGCACATTGAAGGAACAAAAAGTATCAAATTTTTGGCAATTTAACTCTTTTTAGGAATTGTAGAACGTTCATAAGAAACCTTTGGTATCAGTGAAAAATTGTCTGCTGAAGTCCATTTAATCCGGTTTCTGGATTTTTTTCCCTTTTTTTTTTGAAGTTTGGTGTGCTCAAAGTGGCCTGAATAAGTTTTAAAAGAGGTATTCTCACCACTAAAACCGAGCAGATAATTCCAATAATACGATGTTTTGTGGAATTGGTCTATTTGCATCAGATACTGGCCGTCGATATCTTTCCTCAAAGTCCTTTTCCCACCTGACTTATCCGCGATTAACGACTCCAACATTGTGCGCACCATGTAAAGCTGGGTTGAAGAGGGGCCTGAGAAAAAGAATGCAATTTTTCACATTTCCATAGAATGGGAACAAAACAATAAAAACAATAATTAACTGGGAATGTCTATGAAGCTTTTCAACCGCTCTGAGTAAAAAATTGTGACAGTTTACAAAAGAAAACAGGAGGTTCACAGCTCACTACTAAAAATCAAGCACTAATTAATACTATTGGTACATTTTTACGATATTAATATAATATCGTAAAAAAACCTCAGTGGTTTAGTTAAAATCATTCCCTGCAACTTTATTGTTTGTTTCAAAATGAAGCTAATTCCATTTTTTGTGCAAGGCGGTTAGAGAAGTCACAACAAACATCTTAATATAGTATCAAACTTCATTAACATAGAATCTTTTAAGTTTTAAGAATTTAACCAGTGTTTACCGCTAATTTTAAGGAATTTCTTACTTTAATGGATGTTCGAGTCACTTATTGAAGTATTCAAGTTATATTTCATCGAGTTGATTGTGTCTGGGTAAAAATTAAATTTCAGATTTAGTTCATCCTCTCTAAGTGGTACATAATCGAGTTACATACCGACATTCCTTCGGGGCACTTTGATACCAAAGCCAGAATCAGGATCTTTCTTCCCTTTCAGCGCAGGATCCGCTGATGGCTCAACCCCTCGCTGCCAATCGGCACATGTTTCTCGAACAGAAACCAAAATACTGCAATGTAAAAATGAGGAGAACATGCATTAAGCAAGGTCATCCTCATAATAAACCCTGATCGTAGTTAAATTTAATAACTAAAATCCTGTTTAAATACATTAAAATTGAATTGCAGGAATTTTTTTGAAAGAAGAAAGGAGGCGATTATTTTCTTATGAATGATTCATTCTAAAATAAAAATTTTCATTTATGCTTCAAAGAAATTGAATTGTTTAGCTTAAAACTGCCAAAATTACACCGAGAAAATAAATGCAAAAAATAAACAAAAACTGACTGGAGCCAAGAGCTTTTAATGATTGGAAGATTTTTGTGGTCCATGTAACAAAATCTATTAAAAAAAGACGTGGATCACATAAATCACTTTTTTTTCGTGTGTGCGCCAAATCTCTTGGAATTGAAAATAATTAGATGTTATGGCATGCGGAAAGAATTTCAAAGTTCTGCAACGGAATACTTTGCCATTTCCGCGTTGCACCTGACTGTTCAAAAACTCGTCACCCTAAAAAATAATACTTGAAAGAAAGGAATTGAAGAAATTTAAAGGAAAGAAAGGAAAAGATAAAGTACCTTCTGATTAAGTCCCTCTTGTTCTTTATGGCTTTTCTGAGAGGCTCTCTGAGAATTACTTGCACAAAGTCCTGGAGTTCGGCATAAATATTGCGTCTGATGGCTTCAGTAAAAAAGGTTTCCATACGAGACATTAAAACTTGCAGGCCTTTGATCATTGCAATAACCTCGATTAGTGCAAATTTTTCCTCTTCCGTGTAGTTGTAACGTGTTGCCTGGGCAAAGGAAAGTAAAGGTTAAAAACAACAAAGAGATATCTACAAAGATTTAAGGAAATGCTTGAATAAAAATAGGATCTGAAGTGCTGACTGCATTAAGAAGTATATTGAAATAAAGAGACAGAAGGACGAATTGAGAATTTTGAAAAATACACATTATCCAGAGTGTCAACGAAAACGAAAATTTTCTTACATCCTAGTATCTTCCAAAAAGATTTTTGACTTTCTCAAAATGCTGAGCTCCGTGACTCAGTTCAAATATCCTTGATTTTCAATGTAAAGAAATCCTACAGAATCAAAGGCAACTTATGCGAGCTGGCAACACTCTTTTGCCTCCATCTAGATACACTTTAACAATTTTTTATCTCGACTGATACTGTAAAATATAACATTTCTACAAGTATCTCACCCTCCCTTCAAAAGGATTTATGTAAAAATTGATTATGTTACAAAAATAGATGAAACAACAATCAATTTTGGTTAAGGCAGCCTATAATCAGCATTCTCCGCTGCTTTAATCGGAGGAAACCTCTACTGATACCTCATCAAAATTGCTACTGTAATAAATTGATGATCCACATAGCTTCACTTTCCTTCGCTCTAAAAGGCTGAAAACCTGGCAATAAACATCCAAAGTTCAGCACAAAGGCGCAGGCCTTCACTCCATTTTCTCAGTGAGGGGGAAAGTTAAATGAATGACTTGAAAAAATGCTATGACCTAGAGAGGACATTCCAAAAATGGTGACGTACTTACTCTTTCATATTCTTCAGCTTCTTGTGGGCATTCTTTATTTTGATGATGATCCGTCGGGTGCAACAACTTCCACGAGTAAAGCTCTGTGACAACACTGCTCCATTCCGACAGCAATTGTAAACCACGCAAGGCTAAATCGGATGTTTCCTTGTTTTCTTTATCCGTTCTCATTTCTTTGAATGTTGTATTCACCTTAAAATTATCGAAAAATGTAAGAATGGAGAATTTTTTTTTTTTATTGTAAGTTAACAATTGAACAAATTTTCATACCCATTTCTAGATTGCTTTAGTCTTCACGAATTTGTTTTTGACATGAATAATCAAGTATAACTAATAGTTCCACTAAGATTTTAAGACGCTGAAGATTTTACTCATTTTGCTATCTTTAAATTCCTATTGTGAAGGGTAATTAAACGTTTTACTTTACAAGTCATCGAAAAAATTTTTGACGATCGTTATTCTCAGATGAAAACATGTTTCAAGATAAATGGTTGATACTGGCAAATAACAAAAAAAGATAACATACTCGATACACTAGATTTCAATGGAAATTCACCTTCTCTAGAGAATGCTCCATGTTAAAAACTTATTACAAGACTTCTCGCTTCATTGGCTGGATACTGTTCATTCACACTTGTTATTTCTAAAACAGTGGTATAAAAAATTAAAAACAATAAAAATGGAGGAGGAATTTGTGAGAGGGAGAGGAGGTACCTCGTTACTATAGATTGCAAGCTCACTGATGTACTTAACGTGGTCTTCTCGTATTTGCGGCAAGTGCACCATCAAATCAGCTTGGGGACTGATCGTAGTAGAGCTCGATAAAGGCCATTTTCCAGGGTCGAAATGCTTCGAGCGCTTGATATAGTTGAATGGCGCTATTTGCATGTCACCAAAGAGAGGGACAACCTCCAGATTCTGAAAAAGGAAAAAGAAAAAGACATCAGACATAGAAAATTAATTCAAATGATGATTGAAAAAAATAAGATTTAGAATATTAAAGATTTAAAAAAAAATTTCACCATGAATTAGGTTCATGACTAGGTTTAGGAAAACCAAAATTCAATTAGGTGTAGTAAAAGCTTGATTTTCCAGTTTTTGCAGTTTAACAAATTTTTTTAATGTCCCTCCTAAATCCCTGTGAGGACATGGGGGACATCCTTAAAATTTGATGGATTTTACTAGATCAGATTTTTGTACAGTACTATGGCAGGGTGTCACCTTGTATTATTGAATTTTTATTTTTTATTTTATTTTGTTTTTACGAACATCACAGGATTCGTCCTTTCATAATTATTACAAAAAACAAAAATAGAAACTTGGGAAAAACTAAATATTAGAACCAAAGATCTGAACTTAATGAATGCCATACAGAGTTAAGCTATTATACCGAAAGAACTGGGAGTTGGAGGAAGTAATACGGAAAACACTGGAGCAAAAGACAACTTGGAATCATTGACTGCTTCGTCGAAAAATGTACAAAGTCAGTTAAGAAAATGCGACACTGATAACATTTGACAAAATGATACCTTGAAAATTCTGTCAATTTTACTGAGATTTAGTTTCTTCTTTTGGTCGAGTTTGTTGATATTGCAGAGCTCGTTGTCCATCAAAAACAAACCAAAGCCCATGACCTGCAAACCAAGACAAAACGATGTTTTTACTGACAGTATTATCATGTAATTGTGACCAAATCTGTGAGAAGGGACCTTTTTTCCACAGAGAAAATTTCTTTTTGGCTAATGCTAAATCCCTTCCTTTTTGCTAATGCAAGGAGGAAGAAAATCAGGACATTTTGACGAAAAATTGACCCTTAAGGCTTGTGACTGCCAAATCTCCATAGTTCCGAAGTTCCATAAAAAAATTCTTAGGTTGTAGAAAAACGTAGTTTAAACAATAAAAAAAAGTTAAGGAAAATTATCTCCCAGAAGACAAAGTCCCTTTTCACAATCTGATCACAAATGAAGACTTGAAAGATTTGCAAACTTAATTTTTTTTCATTTATCAAAAATATTGTGAAACCTGAGAAAAAAATACTGAGTAACTTAGAACTGTCTTGCTATGAAGTCAAGAAAAGCGCAGAAGAAGGACTGATGATGAGACACATGGCCAAAATACAAAATCTTATTCAAAGTTAACGAGTCACCTGAACTTCAGTTACATTTCTTGAATTTAAAAGTTTAGTTTAACACCTAAGAGCAATAATGGCAGGGAGAATTTTTAAAAAAACACTTTTCTGAGAGTCGTGTTAAAATCTCAATTCCGAGATCTTCAGAGTCATAAATGGGCTTTGACTGGAACAAAAGTTCTTCAATAGGCTTTGACTAGAACAATAGTTCACTTTTTTGCTAAATTTTTTCCAAAATACAGTAATTTCCCTGTAATAAGAGCTTGGGTCCACAATTTTGGATTCTCGTTTCGGAAAGACAGCAATTACGTTTGAGAAAAGGATGTTTTCCTACAAAAAACAAAATATCAACAAATGTTTCTTCATTTCTTTAAAAATGGCTTCTCGGGAAGCGATCTAAATTAAAGCTAAAAAATAAATTTTACTTTATAAATCAATGTTAAGGCCAATCTGGGTATACGGCTGCCAGATTTGGGCGTGTGCCGCCAGTTCTAATCTCAAAATTATTGAGACAATTCAAAATAAAATACTCAGACAAATGGCAGGGGCCAGGTGGTACGAGCGTAACATCGATATTAGAGATGAGCTTGGGATCGAAGAAATGGACATGTACATCTCATGTATGTACAATAGATATGAAGAGAGACTGGGTGGTCACCCCAATCCCGAAGCAATAGCGCTTTTGGATTGGGGCTCCCGAGACCCGGAGGTTAAAAAGACGCAAACCACATGAGTTGAGCACAGCTCATTTCCGTCGGTGTTAGGTTCGTGCCTCTGGCTCCTACCAGTCTTTGTCGACTGACAGGGCGAAAGCATAGTTAGTAGGAAATTCTTTAGAATCTAGTTCTAGGAATAATTATGGTTAATATTGGTTAGTTTTTCTCCCGATTTTTACAGGATTTTACTTCTATCTCATTTGTTCATCCTTCATTATCATTCTCATTAATTTAATCCATAAAGCGGTGTTTATTTCCATTTTATTATATTAGGCTTAAAGGAAAATTTGTAGAGACTCGTAAGGTCTAGTAATATAAGTTGTAATTCAATATGTGTAATTACAAAAATAAATAAATAGATAAAAAAAAAAAAATTTCTTTAAATTAACTGCTGAATCTTATCGGTAGAGAATTGTTCAAGCACTTTCAAGGCCTTGAAAAAAATGTCAAAACCGATCACTTTCGAAGGTCGAACGAATCACGAAGATGGGATGACATGATACTCACTTTAACCAGCATGTGCTTTTCGGTGGGTGTCAGGTACATTTTTGTTTCGAACATGTGCACACACAGATTGACAACATCGGACAGAAGCTCTTCATAACCGATTATTTTTTCCAAATTCTCTTTAACCGTGTCTCGAATTTTGTTCTGCGTGGCCAGAAACATGGATAAATTCTGCGACTCCTGAAGGGTGTGTGAATCTGCCATAACTTTCAAGAACTGGGCGGCACTGAAAAAAGAAGCAATGGTGTAAAAACTTGTGACGATACTTTTGAGCTACAATCGAGGTTTGATATGAATCAGAAGGAAGGGAGAAAACTGTTGGATGTCAAGGACTAAGGACTTAACTCTCCACAATAGGGGTGTTCCGATTATCGATTGGTTATCTATTAATTAAGCCTTAATAATCGGTTTAAGTTGTCGATTAACAGTCTTTAGATTAATCGTCAAATCGATTAATAGTTTACAATTAATTGGAAATTTGATTAGTCGATTAATCGGCTTAAACAAGTCTATTAAATTCTTTGAAGCTGATAATGAATTAAAAATGTTGGTTCGTAAGTTAGATGCTCTAGAAATTGTCTACACACTCACAATGTTTTTCATCTGAAGAAAATCAAACACACACAAAAATACAATTAGTAAGTGTAACAATGATATATATTCAAGCGTGAGTATCTTAGTACATGTTGGTGGCTACGGAATTTAAGATTCCCAGCAGTCAAACTAGCCATTTACAGCAAGGTTCGAAAAAATTGATTAATTCACTGCCAATTAATCGTCTGATCGATTAATTACGTATTAAAATTACCGATTATCGATTATACAATTTTTCAAATAATCGAACGCCTTTACTCCACAATGCAACACAGGGTTGCCACAGAGATTAGAAAAGGAATTTACCTGACTCATTTGGGTAAAATTCCTTGACAATTGAAGATATATCAGCTGGCTGAAAGACATAAAACTGGGGAAAGAAAAGAAGAGACTAATGTCACAACCAAAAATTGCACCATTCAACAGATACTTGGATGCTAACCAATGGGCCAACTGATGATTTGATGCATTCAGACTGATGTGACTTTTGTCTCTTCTTTTCCTTCCTCAGTTTTAATAAACTCTAATTAAAACGTAAAAGACTTAAATATTTATTTTTGGAAACCTCTTGTAGAGACTTTTGCGATATTACTTCTGTACACACATTTTTTAAAAAATAATCTTCATTTAGGTACACAGGAGAAAACTTCAAAGTGGAGAAATCTTTTATTACTTTAAAGACATAAACTTACCGGCGATAGGTAGAATAATCGTTTTTCACACTTGATTTCATGTTTTTCAGTTCATCTAGCACCGCAAACATATTGATAAATTTTCCTAGGGTGAGCAAGTAGGCTTCCGACACAAAATCCTTCCTCTTTTCAGCATGGCACAGCCTTTTTACCTCTGCACAAAACCTTTCAATAGCTTTTCGCTGTGAAAGAAATAATTGGAGTTAAAGATTAATGATCTCACTAAATTTATTTATTCCTTGACAGTAAAAGTTATGTGATTAAAATGTGCACAAAACTTAGATACCTCTTTCACCTAGGTATATTTTTCATGGTCAGTATGCGCTGTAGTAACTACCCTCCAGGCCACCATCAACGTTGACAATCAACTGATGATTGTGACCACAGAAGCTGCTGAAATGCAGACTGAGTGTATAACATGAGTTTGTATGTAGAAAGTAAGACTTTCCTCGATGTCATGTACAGTTTAATAGAAGTAAATAAATTGAGGAATAATCACAGTAAAGTATGAAGAGAATGATTGAATGAAATTCGAGTTCATTATTAGGATTTGTTAAGTAATTCCAATTTTTGAGAAAATCAAAGCACAGAAAGGACACTCTTCAGTTGCTTTGTTTCAGAATCTTCACCAATTTTTCATCCTTTATGATCAAACAAATGTGTGTAATTTGCTGAAACTCCTACTGAATATTCTTCATGATTTTACAATTCTCTAAATGAAAATTTTCAGAAAATTCACTCAGTAGTTTCCTCTCTGAAAGCATGAAACTTTCCTCAGGGCAATAGTTCAAAAAAGTAATTATCATTCGGCAAGCGAGAATTTATCATTGTATAACCGATTGAGATCTAAACCTATGGCATATATCCTAAAAAAATGAAATTTTCCGATGAGTATTAGCAAACATAAGATAGAAGTTCAATGAATGGAAAAACTGAATGAATATCAAAAAGACTAAGACCTTTGACAAGTCCTCAGCCAAGACCACTTTCTTGCTAAATGCGCCAGGTAATTTAAGGCACAGTGACCGGTACTTGGCATGTACTATAATAATTTACATTGTTTCAATTGTACCATTTCATAAATAAATAAATAAATAAATAAATAAATAAAAGATCACACAGTTGTGAAATATAGGCACTATCACCAGTTTTTGTACAGAACTACGAGGGTCATCCAAAAAGTAAGGTTCCCTACCTTGTATATTCCTAACGAAAAGAGATAAATCAAATCGGTAAAAACGTACATGTTAAGCATACTCTAAGCTTTAAAACAAGCTTAAGTTTTTGAAAATCGGTTGAGGACTTCGCGAGAAAACTCATTTTTACTAAGACGACCTCCCGTCGTTGCTTGCCCACCTCCGAGGTCAGGATGCGCGTAGAGTCCCTTACTTCAGACTCGGCTTATCGCCTCTAAACATCCAACCGAAAAGGAATTTAAAAGATTTTATCAAGTAGGCCTTACCTTACTTTTTGAGATAGTCTCCGCATCTTTTTCGAAATTTCTGGTATCATTACAGCAGCTCTTTCGTGCCATCCACGTAAAAGGTCTCGTCTTGGCTCCAAAACCAGTCATTGCCAGCGATCTGCACTTCCAAATCAGTTGCTTACCATGGTAAAATTTTTCCCCAATCGTCCGTACTCTCTTTATTTAGCCTCAGGTGACTTTCGTCTATTCCTGAAATGAGAAACTCCCACTGTGGAAAGCGATTTCCAACCGATTTAGAGGTGGAGATCGCTGGCAATGACTGGTTTTGGAGCCAAGACGAGACCTTTCACGCGGAAGGCATGAAAGAGCTGCTGTAATGATACCAGAAATTTCGAAAAAGATGCGGAGACTATCTCAAAAAGTAAGGTAAGGCCTACTTGATAAAATCTTTTAAATTCCTTTTCGATTTGATGTTTAGAGGCGATAAGCCGAGTCTGAAGTAAGGGACTCTACGCGCATCCTGACCTCGGAGGTGGGCACGCGACGACAGGAGGTCGTCTTAGTAAAATTGAGTTTTCTCGCGAAGACCTCAACCGATTTTCAAAAACTTGAGCTTATTTTAAAGCTTAGAGTATGCTTAATATGTGCGTTTTTACCGATCTGATTTATCTCTTTTCGTTCGGAAGATGCAAGGTAGGGAACCTTACTTTTTGGATGACCCTCATAAAAAGCAGAGGGCTTGTCAGGTGGGTAATCTAAACTAAGTTCTAGCATTGTGGTGATTAGTGGAAATTGCCGTTTAAAGCATTCAAAGATCCCTTTTTTCTTGCACGCTTTTCTGGCCCAGCAAGATCAGTTACACTTCTTGGACATTTTAGTGGAGAACATGATGCAAGTTTTCACCTAAATTACATCACATCAATTACCTACCGAATGTTGAAAACTAACAAAATCAGAATGCTCACCTGAAAATACATGAAGTTAAGAAGCTTGTTCACTTCAGGAGCTAATACTTCAACAGTCTTTTCATAGATTTCCACCCGGTTCGGCTGCTCATTGGACTTCGGTTGCGGGATGGCTCGAGAGCAACATCGCCACGTGTACAGCATGACCGCATGTTCCAAGCCATCTTCCAACAGTTCATTCTGGAGCATTACAAATAGACATTTTACAGGATTGGTACATTAACAACTTCAAATTCACAACATGGTAAAGCTCTGAATTTTTAAAACGATTAAAACCAGTGTCTATTAAGCTTCCATGAAAAAACCTATTGACAGTTTTCAGTGCATATGCTATAAAGGTTCAAAAATTGATGCATTTGCATTTAAAGGTCGATCTGCAATGGATTCCTTGGACAGTTAGAAATCTTCAAAATTGAAATCAAGGTTCAAATGACCTTCCATTAGAGGTGTTCCGATTATCGATTAGTAATCGATTTATCAAGCCCTTAATAATCGATTAACAGTCTTCCGATTAATCGTCCAATTGATTAATAGTTAACAATTAATCAGAAATTCGTTTAGTTGATTAATCGGCTTAAATAAGTCCATGAAATTTTAAGAAGCTGATTATGACTCTAAAAAATGTTGGTTCCTAATTTAGATGCTCAAGAAATTGTCTACACACTCACAATGTTCTCCATCTGAAGAAAATCGAACACACACACAATAAAAAAAACACAATTAGTATGTAAAACAATAACATATATTCATGCGTATGTATATCAGTATGTGTTGGTGGCTACGGAATTTTAGTTCCCAGCAGCCAAGTAGCCATTTACAGCAAGATTTGAAAAAATCGATTATTTCACTGCTGATTAATCGTCTGATCACTTAATTACGTATTTACAGATTTTTCAAATAATCAAACACCTATACCTTCCATCAAAGAAATGCATAAATTTCTGATTTTATTCTAAAATAGATGCTTCTACCAATTTTCAAAATGTCTGCTTTAAATTGAAAACACTTGCATGGAACTAACTTTTCAGATACGATGTTTCTGATCCTGCTGTAGTTCTGAAATAATTTAGGTAAGAGTAAAAGAGTCACATCTTTTTTTCTGAACACCGATTTAAGCATGTTATTGGTAATTCTTGTTTTGTATTCATTCCCTGCCAAAAACTTATGGTTTCCTGTCATTTTTCTCAAAATTATCTTGAAAAAGCAAGATTTTCCTCAAAATCATAAAATATCATTTATCATCCATTCAATTACACAGATTAGCGGTGATCAAGCAGCAGGAATGTGAAGCTTACCAAACTGGCGTGAACGGTGGCTTCTTCAATGTACTTTGCTATGCCAGTGACGAACCCATTCCGGTCTTCGAAGTTGGTATCAAAGTTAGCTTGATAAATGACAGAGCATGGCTGAGCTTCAATACACGGTTGTTCATCTGGTAACGTAAGCTCATCTAAGGCGTCGACGTTGGATAAAGCATCAGTTAATGTTACCTTATCGGCCGCCATTTTGAGAAGTTGACTCCTCTGTGCAAAAAACCATCAAAGACATAAAAATGTGACTTGGCAAGAAAGCATTGTTGTATATGGAACTTGGAGAAATTAATGGTTTTGAAAACATACCCACTCTAATCAATTAAAAACGGAGAGTACACTGTAAACCAAAAATAAATATTCTTGAGTGTTGCACAATTCAGTACTAGAGGACATTGACGGTGGAGAGTAGATAAAATTGGTCAAATAACTTTATACCTTCAAGAGGTAGGACAAACTTAGGTAGTGCAAACTTTTGTAAAACTATCAGAAGTAATACTGCTAACTTGAGGTAGGGGTGTCGTCAGCTAAGTTGGCACTTAATACATATCGTTTGCAAGCAACTATAAAGTAGTCGTCTAACAGGAATCGAGGATTGACTAAGCTCACGATTGGGCTGCCTTCAATCCCATATTGCTGTTGGACAATTGCATCGCAATTGCTTGCGAGTGGAATCTAAACAAGTGCCAACTTAGCTGACGACACCTCTAGATAGCAGAGTAAACAGGTAACTACGAAAAATTTAGACTTGAAACAATGGAAATAAAACATAGAAGTAGAAGAATCGGTCAGTTGTGCTGGTCTCAGAATCATTTGATGATACTTTATTCTTGCAGATCACTTAAAAATGATAAGATCTGGTCAAACAGCCATATTACGTTGAATATTAGCCGAGGTATCTCGCCTTGAAAAACTTGGTTTATGACATCATCTACCACAGTAGGACATATCACGTTATGCACTACCGCAGTGGCTGACGTTATAAATCGAGTTTGTCAAGGCGAGATATCTCAGTTAATATTCAAGGTAGAGAGATGCTGTTGGGACGGATCTTTATATTTACAGCTGATCTACTAGAACCAAGCATCAAAACAAGATTCTGTTACCAGCGCAACTGGCCCATTGAATAAGGAGAGAGAAATGCAGGGTTCCCAGACGGAATTTTCAAAAATCAGCACTCAGCCTTATCAAATTTCAGCACCAACGCCGAAAAATCAGCACTGAGACAAAGAAATTTCAGCACTTTTTCAGCACTCTGAAATTTTCCTCGAAAAAACCTAATTTAAAGTTAACTACTGAGATTTTAACGGTCAAAACCCACAACTAGCTGCAGATCCGATAATTTCGCCTGGCTCACTTGCCAAACAGAGCACAAAAGCACACACCACACAACCACACAACCTGGCTGGGAACGTCATGCTTGCGCAGAGAGCAGCACTGATGTCACGTCTCTGGCGCTAAATTTGAATGAGTCACCTCATGCAGAAGACCGTCAGAGAAAAAAAAAGATTATTTCATACTTCTAATTATGTAATTCTATGAATGTAAATTCTATTTATGTATGTAATGTTCTAATTATGTTTCCATAATGTACTATTTTTCGAAAAGATATTCTAGCATTAATTAGACGTTGAGGGAGAAAAATACTGAAATATTAGAAAAGACTTCGTTATATTGCATCTCAGAGGACTCATATCGTCACCTTCCAGGCAAAGTATCACTAGCGCCATGCGACGCTTAAAAATTTCCACCGCCATTATTTTTTTTTGCGGAGAAATTGTTCAACGAAGCTGTCTAAAAAATTACACCGAATTTTCTTTGTGCTGCCGATAAAATTTAGTGAAATTTTCGAACAGATTTAACCAACAATTTCTCAGTAAAAAAATAAAATGGCGGCGGAAATTTTTAAACGTCGCATGGCGCTTGTGATACTTTGCCTGGAAGGTGACGATATTTTAAGGATGGGAAGTTTTGAGAGGGGATCCTAGGCTTCTGCATACTTTATTCTAATTCTGTGACACAAGCACTTAATTAAGTTAAAATCGTGTGAATTGAGATAAAACTTATTAAAAGCTTGTTTAAAATGCTTCATTGCTTTGCTTGCCTCTTGTTTGTTTTCCCATTTTCTCTCCTTTTTCCCTTTTTCCCTCCCTCCGCTCCATGCTGCCACCAAAAAAAACATGAAAATACCGCCTATTTCCATGAAAGTACGTTTACCCAAGAAAAATCAGCACATATTTGTCAAAAATCAGCACAAAATTGGCAAAAATCAGCACTAATTCAGCACACATGCTAAATCAGCACAAATTTCACACCAATTTGCAAAAATCAGCACTTATTCCAAAATGTAACGACTAGTCGTAACATCTGGGAACCCTGGAGAAATGAGAGGGTGAAACAGTGGCTAAGCTATCGATTCGCAGGGAAGAGATGGTCTAGCATGACATACCTAACCTAAAAACCGCGATAAGAAACTGAAATTTTTAAAAAACTTCAATTACGCACAAATTACGCAGAATTCTTCCAATTACGCAGCCACTATGCAGCAACCCTCCAATTACACAAAAAAAGCCCTCAATTACGCAGAACGGTAACACTGCTTTAAAGTTAGCTTCAGTCTCACACACAGGAGCCGATCCTAGAAACTCCTATCAGCATGCCCCAGGCCTGCAGGATCAAGGTCTTTGAGACACAAAGTTCAAACATTCCATATCTTGTTCTAGCGTGCCGACAGAGTTCCAAGAATCGTTCTGAATTTATTGATTGACCAGATAAGATAAGAGGAGATAAAGATATACCTCTTGGTCCATGACGAGTCCAGTGACAGACAAAAAGACATGTTCCGTCACCGGAGTCAGATGACAATTCTGTTGTGACATCGTAAGTTAAGGAAACTTCACTACGTTCTCAAAGAAGAATCAGTAGTGTAAGCTCCCGCAATTTAGTTGAAGGAAAGGCGATCGAAAGGAATACAAGAAAAACGACTCATACCAGTAAAGATCCACTCAAAACTTCGGTTGCTCCGCACTTCCCATGGCTTCTTCTTGATTCTCGTTGGCCCCGAGGTTAAATCTTCGTCTCGAATTGATGAAGTACTTCCAAATGAGCAGCTGCAGAGAGGATGACAGTTTAGACGGCTAATAATTAAATAAATTCAAATTAATTGAACGATCGGAGGACCGGCCGTGGTCGCGAGAGAAAATGCAAGGCCGCCATATTGAATTCCTCACTTTGAGGTAGACGAATATCGAAATACTCGATTGCTCGAATATCGAACAATCGATTCATTACCATAGCTTCTAACGGGGAAACACCGATATGCGATAGTCACGCCTCAGCTGTGCATTTTTCTGTCGGCTTCTCAGCCCAGCTACTTGGCACCTGTGGCGCGCCGTTTCGGCAAATTCGCGATGCGCCTGATCTTTTACGCTGATAGCGAATATCCCTGGTCATTCAATGTCTCACTTACTAATGTGCTTAGGTAATTTTTCGCGTAGAATTCATTTTTGATGTTACTTGTAGTGAACAACGTACCTGAAGACCCGTTTTTATGTATTTTGTAGAAGAAACTACAGGTGCAATTAAAAAGCGTATACCTATGTTTCACTTCGTAAGACGGAGTCTTTAATTTTTTATGAGGGAAGAGGATAAATTATGAATAAAATTATTAAAATTTACATATAAATGTCACAAATACACAAAAGTACTTACCCAGATTTGAGCTGCTGCATCAGAGATATCAATTACCGCCCAACTATATTCTACTGCATGAGGACCCTTCGCGGCTAGGTAACAATAAGTTAATTTCGAAACTTAGCCACACAAGACATCATTCTTACACATAAGAATTGGTGAAAAAACAAATTAAATACATCTAGGAATTCTTTGCAAATATTCAAGATCACTTTTAATTCAAATGCATGTTAAAATACTATCGATGGATGTAAGATGCCGCCATGTTGAATCCCCCACTACAGCTGAACGAATATCGAATATCGTATCGAGTGCGATTATTCGACTATCGCACTATCGATTCTTCACCATAGCTTCTAACGGGGACATGGCGGCATTCGATCATTCACAAAATTTGTCAAGAAATCCGCCTCCAGCCACTAACTCCGTTCTCGCACCGGCTCGACTCACCAGGGGCGAAGCGTATCAGCATGCCCCCGGTCATCGCTTTACTTGTTACGGCTATTTCACTCGTTCCTGGGGATTTCGGGCTAAACTAGAGTGGCTAAACCAAAGTATTCCTGGGTTATTTTGATCGTAGAATTTATTTCTGACCTTACTTTTTTCAATAAAATGACGCAAATACACAATTTTACGCGCTCTTCCAAACTTTCCGGAGAAACATAAAAATTTACAAGTTACTCAAAGATAAATTTTACTCGTTCTTGTGGACATTTCGTGTTGAAACTCGGCATCTGCGGGGACTTTTGATCGTAGAATTCATTTTTGACCTTACTTTTGTTGATTTGTTGACACAAATACATGATCTCGGCGGTAAAAAGAAAAGGTACTCACCGTAGATTGTACTCGTCCTAGTGGACATTCCGTCTTGAAACTTCGCAAACTAATGGTATTTTGATCGAAAAATGAATTTATGACCAAACTTATGCTAAAATATATGATGACACAAACGATGATGACACATTAAAGGGGGGGAGGGGTGTCAGTGGCGTGCGGTCCGGATAAGCAAGGCAATAAGCACTGCTTGCCCAAATATCTCAGAGGAGAGAGGAAAATTACACCTGTTACATGTCTTAAATTTGAGCAAATATTATTGATAAAATGTATTAGTAAGTAAATTGAATTAAAAACAGAAAGAGAGAGAGAGACAGAAATACGTACATGGCAGCCACAAAAGTAGGAAAGCGGCGGCAGAGCGGACGAAGGTGCGGCGCAGCGCGCTGCGCGGCCTGACCACGGGGACGGGCCACTCATGCTTCGGTGACACGCCTGGCGCTTGCTGGTGGGCTATGAGCGGAGAGCCAGACAGCCAGACTGCTCGGCGGCGGAATCAAGGCGGGCGGGGAGAGCGGTAAGTTCCGAGTCCGAGCGCTTCCCTGTTTTTACTTTTGCCTCCCCTCCGACGCGCTGTCCTGTTCCCTTGTTCCCTCTTCTCGTCGCGGTTGCGATTGCTCCTTCCGCAGCTAGTGTCCTCCATTTCAAAAATATGTCGCTCACTTGGATCTAATTGGTGGTGAATGAGACGATTCTCAAGCATGTTTTAAACGCAGAGAGATGTTTTTTTGAGAAATTTAAATAACTCAAAAAATTCTAAACGCTGTGGAGTAACGACTGGATATACCTCAAATAAGTGGCAAATGGAAATCATAAGTGTAAGGGAGAATGAAATAAAACCATTGTTTTTCAGGACGTTCCATCAGATTTCAACCGAAAAATAGAGTAAATTGAGGTTCGCGAGGATCTAAATTTTAACAATTTTCTAGGGAGGCTCCCTGAGGAGGGAATGGGGGCTATAGGTTACGTTAAACAACCCCCCCCCCCCCCCCCCCCCCCCC